ACCATTTTCGCCTGCATTAAGAAGAAGCTGGAAGACCATAAAGGGAAGTGGTTGGATGAACTCCCGAACGTTCTATGGGCTTACAGAACCACCCCAAGGCGGCCGACTGGGGAGAGCCCGTTTGCAATGGCATATGGTACCGAGGCAGTTATACCGGTTGAGCATTTGGTCCCCACTATCAGAAGCTTAGCATGGAGTCGAGATCAGAACGACAAGATGTTAAGATTGAACCTCGATATGATAGACGAAAGGAGGGACACAGCGGCTATAAGGTTAGCATCGTATCAGCAAGTATTGGTGAATAGTCATAACAAAAGAGTAAAACACAGGGATTTTGCCCCTGGCGATCTGGTTCTGAAAAGAAAGGTGGGGATGGTCAAAAAAATGATGCCACCCTGGGAAGGCCCATACAGAATTGCAGAAGTCATAGGCAAGGGGGCATATACGTTGGAAACCATGGCGGGAAGGTTGGTCAGCAAGCCCTGGAACGCCACGTCTCTGAAGAGGTACTACCAATAAAAGCTAAGTTTCGGCTTTAATTGGATGTTGTTTGTTGTCAATCAAATACGTATGAATGTGCAAGTTACTGAAATTTATAAAAAAATAACTTTCTTTTCCAACGGCCTACTAAAAAATGAAAAGCCAAGTGGCATGTGGCATTCTAGCCGAGCGCCAGGCACTTAAGCAAGATAAGTGGCAGCTGGCACCATAAGCCGAACGCCAGACACTTGCTAAAAATTTAAAGCCAAGTGGCAAGTGGCATTCTAGCCGAGCGCCAGGCACTTAAGCAAGATAAGTGGCAGCTGGAACCATAAGCCGAACGCCAGACACTTGCTAAAAATTTAAAGCCAAGTGGCAAGTGGCATTCTAGCCGAGCGCCAGGCACTTAAGCAAGATAAGTGGCAGCTGGCACCATAAGCCGAACGCCAGACACTTGCTAAAAATTTAAAACCAAGTGGCAAGTGGCATTCTAGCCGAGCGCCAGGCACTTAAGCAAGATAAGTGGCAGCTGGCACCATAAGCCGAACGCCAGACACTTGCTAAAAATTTAAAGCCAAGTGGCAAGTGGCATTCTAGCCGAGCGCCAGGCACTTAAGCAAGATAAGTGGCAGCTGGCACCATAAGCCGAACGCCAGACACTTGTTAAAAATTTAAAGCCAAGTGGCAAGTGGCATTCTAGCCGAGCGCAAGGCACTTGCCATAAACAAACACACGGCAAAGCTAATATAAAAGAAAAGAGAGAAAAGATATATATGTATTGAAAATAGGTTGAACAGAGCACAACACAAAGGGAAAAAGAGTTCTGTCATTTCATTGATATTAAGCATTGAGTTTACAAAAAGTGAGATGTCCATCGTTACAAAAAGATATGGAATCGAAGAGTCCGAAGGAGCCCTAGCTAGACGCCTCAGTACCAACAGCATCCTGGTTGTGCCGACCCGCCTCCTCGGCCCCATCAGCCGTCTCACCTTCACGAGGTGGGGAATCAAGATGGAAGGTACCACAGTTGACGATTGAGGAGCGGTCAGAGGCAGAGCGGTAGGAGGAGCTGTGATGATCCTTGAGGAAGCAATGTCCTGGCACTCATCGAATATGCGCTCCGCTTCGGTGGGTTCTGGGTCGACATAGACCCCCAGAGGTTCGATCCCTAGATCCTTGTCGACCTCATCTGGAGTGGAACTGGTCTGTCCCTCATCCGGAACTCGGTCGGCGAAACCTTTCCGGAATCCTTGAGCATATCTAAGAGCACCGACCCTTGAGAACCGAGCGTGAAGAGCCAGCATCCCACCGCTCACTCTGCTGATCGCATCGATCAGAGCGGTACGCTCGTCCAGAGCTCTTTTCTCAAAAGCCATCCGAGCAGACTGTTCATCAGCCAGAAGGCGCTGGAGTTCTGCCTTTTCGTCTCTGATTGAGTCACGCTCAGTCTGCCAGACGTTCTTTTCAAGCTGGAGGGCATCCTTCTCATCCTAAAGAGAGTCATTCTCCTTCTTCAGGACATCTCTCTCTTGTTCAATTTTTTCAAGCCGAGCCAGTACCTCGGTATTCTTCATGGCGAGAAGGTCGTTTTCTTTATTAGCCACCTCCAGGCTATCAGAAAACTTACGAGCCCTGGCGTTCCCCATCTCCACCTGCTTCTGCATAGCCATCATTCCGAACAATGTCTGCATAGGTGTACATTAAGAACGGTTAAGCCAATAGTCAGGTCGGGTGAAGGCAAGACCAAATAATATGAGAGAATTCATAAGTTGGAAAATAAAAGTCACCTCCATAGCAGATTGGGGAAAGCAGCTGAACACATCCTTCTGGGATAGGCCATTTGCCGCCTCAAGGTCTTTCGGAGTCCACATGCTCCTATAGTACGCCATGGCGGTCTGGCCATCCTTCAGCATGGTCTCGTTCGGTTTCACGAACGTCCCATCCGTTCGGGTGTACCGAGGGGCCCATGGCGGTAAGGTGGGGATAGAAGGGGGGCCTGAAGCAGAAGCGGAGCCACCAGCTGCAGTAGGCCCAGAGGGAGCAGGAGCTCTGATCGCACGATGCAAGAGAGCATCCGGCCCGGAGACCCGGGTCCTTCTTATGAGAGGTTCTTCCTCAGGATCGACTTCACTGTCAGGATGAGGCCTTTTGCCTCGTTTTTTATCCCGAACGCCCCCCGCGGCAGCAGGAGCTGTGGTAGTTTGGGGAGACGCGCTCGGGTTGGCAGCAGGGGTGCTGACAACGGAGTTAATAGCCACTGTGCTCGGGATAGTGTCAGAGATTGTGGCTGAGGAAGAGGCTGATGCTGGAGAGGAGGTCGCCCCAGCAGCAGGAGTGGCTGGGGGAGTATTTTTCTTCCTGCCAAAAGAAGGAATCTGAAGCCTGCTCATGTTGTAGCCGAGTGATGAGAGCGCTAAGAGGTTGTCTGAAGTGAGGAGATCTGAGCAGGAAGGAATATCGTTCAGAACGTATTTCTTCAAGTAATTACTCCTATCCCTGCAAACACTGTAGCTCAAGTCATCACAAGGTATTCCTAAGGAACGGCATAAGAAAGTACAAAAACGGGGAACGCATGTTTCGCAGGGACAATCATGTTTATGAGATTTGAATTTCTTATAGGAGGAAACAGAACAGACACCAAAGGCGCTCGGGATTGGGTAACCCTCTGCAGCCGGCGAAGACCAAGCCCCACTAATGCCCACGATGCTATCCCTCCAACCCTTTTCAGATTTTATTGTGTCCGTACATATGGACATCTTCTCGAACGGGTAGAGGTGGTAGAAGGGTTCATTAGTACGGATCTTACTGACCTTATAACACACAAGAAGGTCTATGAGGTCAAGGTCCAGATTTCTGTCACGCATCAACAGGAGCATAACGGATATGATTCTAAAGAAATTGGGGTTTACTTGCAGGGGGGATATCCCCAATCTATTGAAGACATAACTAAAGAAAGGGTGCAGAGGGAACCTAACGACATTCAATTGAAGGTTTGTGAATAAGACTTCGCCGGGCAGGAGGCCGGCACCGGTCATAATGTTAACGTCCTGAGGGCAAACCCTAACTTCGATGTTGTCAGGAAGTCTAAGTCTCATACGAAGAACATCCAGATCTACAACCATGGTGGAAGTGCTTGAAGGATCTAAAAGGGGGTAAATAGAAGCCTGCCGAAAGTAAAAAGGAACAAAACTAACCTCAGAGGACTGCAAGATCGCTGGAAGAATGACTCTTGAAGGATTTCACCAGAAAAAGCTTAGCACTGTTCTAGAAAGAGAGAGATTTGACTGATGATGGAGACGGTAAAAAGACGTGAAGTGGTATTCTAGAGCCTTATAAAGGCGAGGGGGGCCCGAGGGCCGAAGCGTCAGGAAGGCGAGAAATTCATCGAGCCCCGGAACATTGATTCTGGATCTGACCGTCCGTTCCCCCACGTGGTTTTCTCGAGCCGTCAACGTCATGATGAGACGCCATCAATAATTACCCCCTTATTAAATAAGGGACAATTATGGGGGCAGTTGAGGAGGCCCAGGACGACATGGGCCGGATCTGACTTGCAAGCACTACATCCGGTCCGTACAGCTGGTTCGGCCCATAAAAAGACACTGCCATATGGGCCGAACGCGAATAAGCCCATCAAAGGTGACCAGGACTTATGGAGGAACAGGCCCAGATCCAGCAATCCGTCAATATTTGTAAATATCTATAAATAAGGGAAGGAAGGGAAAGAATTGGAGGATCTTTTTGTTGAAATGTAAGAATTCTAGAGAGAGAAAGGGAGTATGAATTTCTTGCATCTTCAACTTGTCAACTAATTAAAAAATATAATGTCAAAACTATTCTTGACCAGTGAAGATTAGATTATGATGTTATAAATGAGTTTGAGACCAACTAGGTCATAGATGACGTGAATCTTGATTTTTTTGTTTTATTTTTTATTGAGTTGAATGTTTAATTGAGGCATATAATTGGTACAACTAATTATTTGCTTCATGTTGACTAATGTTTTAGGCCCTATTTGGGGGAGATAGCTTCCTACATCTTCAAAACGAGCTTTTACACTTAAAAAGCCCGTTTAAAGAAAAGTAAACTTGTTTGGTAAAATTTTTAAACGGGCTTTGAGGAAAATTCAACTCCTTGAAAGTCTGTTTAAGGGAAGCAACTAAAACCTGCTTCTTAGATCACTTCTCGGGAATCAAGTTATTGAATAAAAAATAAATTTTTTTATTACAATTTTAACCTTTTAAAATAAGTGAAGAACATAAGACGAAACGTTGAGGTGTAGAAAAGATACAAATGGACTCCCATTTCATCTAACAGAAGAGTTGTAAGATTTGTCAACTCTCATCTAATTTAACTCTGCAGAATTGTGTACAACCTTTTTCTCTCAATATATATATATATATATATATATATATATATATATATATATATATATTTATTTATATTCTTTTAGGTTAACTTCAGTTACACCCCTTGAGGTATGTCCAAACTTCAAAGAGACCCCCCACGTTTGTAAAAATTCAGTCAGACCCCCTGTCAGACATTGTCCGCTGACAAAAACAAATAAATGAATGAAATAACTAAATTGCCCTTTTTGTCGTTTTCCTATATACACTTGACCAAACAACATATTTTATAACTGCCACCAAGATTAGTTTTATCTGTTGAACCAAATAGTCAGCTAATCTTCTATCATCCCTCGTATCTCAATAGCAAAGTCAGGTTACAAAATTAGACTCATTGCTTTGCAGTTCAGTTTAGAGTCTCAGCGACTCAATGTCAAAGTTTCAGCGACCTACTGATATGAGCATAAAGCTTGAGAGACTAGGAAGAAAACGGAGATATATCGACCTAACCGTGAGTTTTAGTTTCGACAACTTCAATTTCAGTAAGTTACGGTCCGGTGAGCTTTAGTCAGACGTACAACTTCCGATACCAAGATCATTGAGGGTACAAATTGAAGTGGACGAAGCTGTAGCAGTCACCGACGAGTTTTCCTTAATTCTTCGTTGAATTCAGACACCCAATATCGGAGAATTAGTACCAGACCGAGTATGCTCTCAATCAGATCCGCGAGCTTGATGGATACATATGGTTGAATTGATGATTTTATTAGATTATTTCAATGATATATTGATGAGAATGGTTAAATTGATGAGTTAAATTGAATTGTTGTGGGTCGGATTTGAAGAAACGGTCGGATGGAGGTTATGAAACTCAGAAATTCCAGAAAATCCCCAGGAAATCAAATTATAGTCAAAATAAATTAACAAAAAAGAACAACACAGAGAAATTGAAATAAATAGGAACATATATATGCGTATGTATGTATGTACCTGTACATGAAAATGTCCAGTCCATGAAGCTTCTTCTTGCAGAGATAGGAAGAACTCAGAAAATCTGTTGTCTGAAACCCCGTCAAGGCCGATACTGCGTCGCCGCGGAGTCCATCGTGGCCCTGACTCGGCGGCGAAGAAGCAGAGAACACTCCAGAACTCATCCAATAACTAGTGCTACTCTCAGACCCATTAGCTAAATCACCATCAAAGTATTCTCGCTTCGTAATCAGATTGTTCCCGATATGCGAAATTACACAAGTATACCCTTCAGACAACTCCATTTCCTCCTCCAATTTGGATCCCCCAAACTTAGCAACACCGCTAAATTTAGCAGAAACAGAGCTATTATTGTTGATGTTCACTATCGGTATTGCGGTGGATCTCGGTGAAACCGCCAAAACAGTGTTTCTGTTAGATTTAGCAGGGGAAAATGGATCGGGGGTTTGATCCAATTCGTTCATAGCGGCAACAATTCCGAGCCCTACAACACTGTTTGGCTTTAAGTTCTTTGGAGATTTGGTAGTTAATTTTAATGGGTTATCGAAGAAAGAGAGGTTGATTGTTAATCTCTTCTTATTTCCCTTTAAATCAGACATTTCTAGAGAGAGATTTTTGGTGGGTATTGTCTTAAGCTCCTCTCTCTCTCTCAGTTGTTCTCTCACTAAATTAGCAGATGTCTTCAGTTTAGCTAGTGTTCTCTAAATTAAGAGGGGTTTCGTTAAAGAGGAGTGCGAGTCGGTGGTACTGAGTGGCGATCTTGAATATCTTGCTGCCAATGAGTCGCGGTTGGTGAGGAGCTTGTCGGCGATGAAGATCATCGCTCGACCTCTGCTGCTGCTACTGTTGTAGGTGCTCCATTTTCTTCTCTCCGTAATAAGTGTTTTTTCTGATTTATTTTCTTTTGGATTTGTATATAAAACGTCTACCTAAGGTATCTTATGGTGGAACAGGCTGGTCATTAACAGAGGCGTTGAGTTTTCATAAATAGGGAAGAAAACTCAACGACACTATTTATTTCTTATCTAATATATAGACTATAATCATGCCTATAGCCAAACATGACTTTGGAGGGCAATCTGGGCATTTAATCTACTTTTTTTTTGTTGATGTCATCAAAAAGTATTTCTAACCAGTTTTGACCGTTGACTAAGGGAGAGACTAATGTGTGTCAGAAAAAGTAGAGGGTCTGACTGAATTTTTGCAAACGTAGGGGGTCTCCTTGAAGTTTGGACATACTTCAAGGGTGTAATTGAAGTTAACCCTTAATATTATTGATGTAAATATGAATGGTAGGAATGGTAGTTGAAAAAGAGTGGTGGTTGTGTCAAAAAATAACATTTTACACCATTGGAGCAGAATTGTTAAATTGTAGCATTTTGACACTATAGCACCTGTCAAAATATAGATTTGGCATCTAATTTAGCATTTTACTATTGGAGATGCTCTTACATTAGCTAATTGGAAAGTTGGCTTTTATCTGTTTGAGAAAGTTGTCAAAAAAAATATCAATATTTTTAGGGATTATTACATATAAATGAGGTTAGGGAACTATATTTACTTAGAGGCTAAGTCAAAGTCTCAAAGTTTCTCTAAAATGTGTTTGACCCAAAGGCTGAGGTGGCACATGAAAAAATACTGTTTCATATTTCTGTTGCCTAAAGTACCCTTCTTCCTATTTTATGTATTGCCTAAAATACCCTTTTGTACACTTACTAATTCCTCTTTTCACATTCCATTCGTGCCGACCTCTCTCTCCCCCCTTCTCTGTAAACAACAGCGATCAACAATCCTTTAACCATTTCCGTGCCTTTCGTGACAAATTGGATTACTGATATAATCCAATTGTAGTGTTATATGTGTTTCTATATATGTAAATCTATATATATATGTGGGTGTGTGTGTGTGTGTTTGATTGTTTGTGTGTATACAGAGTCACAGACACACTACAAGACTGATGGTGGTTGATTTATCGTGCTGATCGGTTGATCAACTAACATCAACCTTCGCAATAGCACGAATCATTGTAAAATAGGACTATTGGTCGGGTAAGTCGAACCACTGGGACTGCGCTAGTCTAAGGCAACCTAAGTGTCTAGAGTCATTCTTAGGATGGTGAAGGGTTTATAGAGGTTTTGTTGGATGTCACTTAAGCTAGGAAATTAAAAGTGCATAAAACAGTAAATTGCAATGAAATTGAAGAAGTGAGATACAAGTAGAAACGACTAGGGAGATGAATCCACACTACACCCTAAGTACATGCTAGATTAGGTCTAAATTTGGGGATAAATAACATATATGCAATGGTCAAGAAATATGAAGCAAGTCCGTTGCTTAATAATCATCAAGAAGCTCACTTAATCAAAACAAGAATGATCCATCAAAAGCTACCATAGTTGAACTACTTAAACTAAGGTGTAGAATCAAATACACTATCTCAAGCAAAAGACCATCAAGCTTTCAATCAAATGGTGAAGCACATGAAGGTAGGAATCAAGTATAAACCATCAAAGGAGGTACCTAAGCAATGGAATATCAAGTTTCAAAATCAACATGCCTTGAAAAACATTCATAGTTTACATTTTCATTGTCACTATGAAAATAAAAGCAATAAGATTGATCCAAGGATCATCAAAGATATGACAATGAACTTACATCAACCATTTACACATTAAAATTCATTACAAGAAGGAATATGCTCTTAGACTATGAAACTTCCACACATTATACATTATAGTCCCCAAAAGTATAGCCTAATCTAGAACATGATCAAAAGAGGAGGCTTCATCACCTCCCTAGATGGAGGTTTAGCTCTCCATTGATACAAAAATGGAAGAAGAAGAAGAAGAATACCACTCCATTTTCGAGCTCTACTGTAGCACTCAAGAACACTCTCCTCCTTGCTCTCTTCTCTCTCTCTATCTTGCAAAAATTCAAAGATAAGATCCATGTGGCCCTTAGTTGCCTTATATCTATCAACTAAGCTCTCTCCCTCCTCCAAAGACATTCCCAACCACTCCATAAAGAAGGAGGGTGGAAATGTGGAAACCAATGCACAAGTGGGCTGAAGAGCGGTGCATTTCCGAGCTGCAATCTGGCTGATTTTCGAGCACTCGAAGAGTGGTCTCGAGCACTCTAAATTAGTGCAATGTGCAACATGCTTTTCTTGCTCAGAACTGACCTACTTTGGTAAAACTGCTATAACTTTGTGCCCTAAACTCCGAATGATGATCTGCTTGGAGATTTGGAGAGCTGATTCAGCGCTTCAAAAACTTCATGTTTTGATGAAGACCCAATTCTCAATTCTGGTTGGTCGAAAATGGGGAGAAAGGCAGTACTTCAGTGCTGCCAGGCAATTCTGCGCACCTCTGTTAAGAAGATCATAACTCTCTGTTCCGAACTCCGAATGACGAACCGCTTGAAGATTTGGAAAGCTGATTCAGAGCTCTGAATCTTTCATGTTATGATGGAAGTCCAGTTCTTGAGTTTGCTAGGTCAAAAATGGCGACAAAATTCAGGATCACTGCTGCCAGAAATTCAGAAATGGCACCATTTTTGCTCAAAATTCCACAAGGCATCATTTTTGCTTCCTTTTTGCACTTTAACTTGAAAATGCACAAAAACATGCAAATGGAGTTAATCTTCATAAAATAATCACTTAATGGACTTTGTTAATGTAATTTAGGGCGCTTGAATATACAGTATTCAGCGCTTATCACGTGCCATTTGAGTGTTGAAGTTTCTTATCACATCCGCTCATGTAAGCATATTTCATTTTAATTTCTTTGGCTGAAATTTCATTTGTAAATTCTGAAACAAAATCAGAAAAGCTTGAACCCTAACAGATATGTGTGAGTATATGTTGGAGTTCCTTTCGTGAATCATAAATTGATTTTCTTTTTCTTAAAATCATAAATTCCTTTGATTGTTTGAATTCAAAAGCCACTTTATATTGTTGTCATTTAGGTTTTCTTCTACTTTTCCCCCCCTTGAAGAAGCCTACTGATTTAAAGTGATTTTTGTATTGCATGTGTTTGTACAAATGATACAATGAAAAAATGCCATGACAATGATCTTGTGAGGTGGCCATATCTAAAGCAAGGTTATAAAGTCACAAAATTAAGTTTTCTCGCTGATTAAAGTTTGCATGATTAAATTAGTTGGTGAACTTAGATATTTGGTAGATGGTATAAGCTTTTTGGGCTTCTTGGACTAGAAAGAGTTGGAGATTTTTTGCATGCTAGTTGTTTTATCTTCTGTTTTGCTCTTGGTCTTGGTCAAAGAGGTACCTGGGCCCTCGCTTGCCTTTTTTTTTTGGTATCTCGGATGCTTGATTCTTTAAGTGATTTGATGGCAAATTTAGCTGCTGCAACTTCTATTGGACCTTGTCATCATCGCAAAAATCATCACTCTGATTCATTAGCGCATGAGGATCTAATTCCTGGTTTTTGCAAATTCTATTACGTGACCTAGGAATGTTCCAGTTTTTCTGTAGGAATTCTTTGTTGGTGAATTTTTTTCAAGTCTTACCCCTAGTTTCTAGTTTTGCTTTCCTATCTTTGTGGTTTTTCATACTGGAAGAGTTTTGATCATAGTTTTACCCCCTAGTCTCTAGTTTTACAATTGCGTTGCTGTGCATTTTTTTTCCTCTATAATCAATGCTTTTCTAAGTGGGCAAGAAATAATAGTGAAAAGTGTCTCTATTTAGAACTTAACCTACAATTTTTTTCCTTAAAGCATTGCTGATATCAAAATAGACCATATATGCCAATGATTCTTGAATATCTTCTGAATATAAGCAAAGATCATTTATTTTTCTTTTTTTGAACCTTTTGATCTGATTTCTCCATACAACTCATGTTTCTATATTTGTAGATCTATTAATATAATCAATCTAGGTTTTTTTTTTTTTTTTTGTTCTTCAGGTTTGTTTATGTGAGTATATTATATGACTTTGTTCTTTTGAGATCTCTGCTCGTCCATTATTTTTTGTTGTTTTTTTTTTTTTTTGTCCCCCCATCTTGGTTCCTCTGTTTTTTTTATTTTTCTTTTTTATTTGATAAGTCATGTTGATGGTGTTGGATAAACATTAGATGGATATAAAATAAGTGGTGGAATGGAGATTTAAATCTTTTGTCAATATGAATATATGATTGATCCTATTCTAGGTTGTATAATAATGGAAAAGAGTAATCATGTCATTTTTTTGTTTCATTTTTGCTTCTTCAGTTTCCATGACATCTTTTCTGGCAACCTCTCCTAATATTTCTGAAAAATTAATGGTTATGTGAAGGCTTGGGATGAAAAGAAGGTCGAGTTGGGAACTCCATCACAGAAATGTTTCCTTCCCTTTCTCATCGGCATGCCAAACTGGTAAATTTTGATTCGACTTATTCCCTATTAAATATTTAATCTTATTTATATTGTATCTTTTTTGGAGGCTCGAGAAGGGATTCATCAGCTCCAAATATTCAAATTTGGGCCAGCAGTTAGCAAATTGTTTATAGCCTTCTCACCATGGCTTTAGGTAAGTCTAAGATAATTAATTTCTAATTTGTTTATGGTTTACTGTAGTCAATACGGTTTTAGTTTACTGTAATCAGTCTAATATGTTTAATTCAAAACTTGTTAAACAAGGGGTGAAAAAGACTTCTACCACTGCACTACAAGAAAAATGACTTGAAATCTTCTACAACATTGCAAGATTATAATTCAAACAATGGAAAAAAATTGTCCAGTAAATAGGAGAAGACCAACAGCCAAAAACTAAGAGCAACAACTTTAAAGACTAGTGCTGTTATTTTAACCAAAATCTGGAGTAAATAGGAGAAGAGTAAAAGCAAAGAAAATAATAATAATATAAAGGGCAGCAACTTTTTACTCCTCTGCAAAAGCTAACCCGGTCCAATTTTTAGTTTTCTCTCTCCCGGTTCAAGCTCTGTTTTTCTTCCTATCTCCCAACTCAATCTCTTGAATTGGGCACGTCGTCAAAATCAGAAAATCTGGTTGTTGAAACAGAGTTTGTTGAAAATTTGTAGGGATGAATCCTATTTAAACTCCACTAATTCAACCATAAAATCCCAACCATAACATCAGAAAGAAAGTAAAAAAAAATTAATAGCTTAGTTAAAATCTGGTGAAACATGACCAAGAAATCTGGAACTTAAAAGTTTAACAAGAAATCTGAAACTTAAAAGCTCTTGGGTTGATCAAAGCTGGCCCAAGTTTTAAAAAATTTAGTTTTCAAATTTGGTCCAAATGTGAACGACTAATTTAAGCCAAAAGATAAAATTGGCTTTTGAATTCCAAAATAAAACCCTTTATGACAGTGGTAATCTACATAATGTTATTAATCACTGCAACAAAAAAGTAAATTGTCTTTCTGCGAATTGTAATTAAACAATCAACCATATAACGAAATTTTCAAAATAAAAATCCAATTCTGCCAACCACAAAAACGAATTTGACAATCAATATATCATTTGTTTTTCCTTTCTTTCAATTTCTCAGTAATCAAACAGTGGGGGCATGAGCAATACAACTTTTCAGCTTAATCACCTTCTCTGTTTTTACTTTCCCAATCTCAATGTAAAGCAAGCGCACAAAGTAGAAGAATTAAAAATAAAAAAAAATAAAAAATCATTTTTTCATAGATTTCTCAACCTTAAGCCAGTATACCAGTTTTACCGTTGCTTGTAAACACCTCATCTTTAGATAACCAAAACCAAAATGTTGATTCTAGTACATAATTGGTGTAAGACTCTGGTGGATAACTATTTTGGAACCCCATGTTTCCTGGTTGTTGTTGTCAAACTTTTCATATATGCATGTTATTGGCATTGTCTCATGCTGGTAATGACTGCACACCGATCAGCCACCAAAGGATTATGCCGTTTGCTATATTCAATAAAAAAAGTTATTTCTATTGCAAAGTTTGTGAAACATGAACATTAACCCGTAGTCTAGAGTGGCCAGAGGCCAATTTCTTGTCTATACTCAAAACTAAACTTTTATTTTTTTACAGTTCTACTGCTGGTTCAAGTAAAACCTCACTTTCTTATGCCTTTTTTCTCGTTTTTCATTGCAGTTTGGTGAGGTGGATATTGAGGGTTCATTGGTTGCTAGTATTATTTTAAACAAGGTATATTAGATTTCTTCTCAATAATCAGGAACTATACCTGACTTAAAATGACTTCCTTTGGAATTCAATGAATTCTTTTTCTACTATCTTTATGCTCTTCATTGTATAATGTTGGCAGATAGATTTGGTGACTGAGGCTGACTTGGAGGTGTTCACAAAGCGAATTCAGGTAGGCTTTCACCTTGTACATAGATAGATTTTACTTGTATCTTTGAAATGTGGCTACTCATTGAATTGGGAGGGTTAGAGGTGTTTTTAGACTGTGCCAAGAGAAACTGAACTTGTATGAATATGGAAAGTGGAAAAACGGTTGTTGGCATTTTTATATCTATTTGATTCCTGCACAATGATCAATTCTTTGAAGTTTAGGCACTTTTTTGGTTAGTTCAGCTGTGGGTTTTGCTGTTGCCTTTTGACAAGCCAAATTTAACTTTAGTCTGGTTTTGATATATATTTTTCTATATTAATGTTATGGTCAACTGGTCTACTGGAAATTGCATTATGTGAAATTTCTTATTTTAAAATTTCTGAACACAAAAAGTAATTACAATATTTTACACAATAGGTATCTGTTTGTGCAGTCAATGGGGTATAGAATTAAAAAAATAGAAATGAAAATTTAAGAATGCATTTGAAGCTTACATGTCTATAACAAACTAGGGTTAATACTGAAAGTGCTCAATAGATTCAATTATTCAACTTATTCATGTAATAGTTTATGGTATAGCCTTATGTTAGTATGTTGCTTAATTTGTCATATATGTTCTACTGGTACAGCTTTATGTTAAATGAACAGTGAATTCTTTTTCATCTTTCCTTGGCATGCTATTGATTCTGCAACTTTTGGATTTTTGGTGCACTTTTGTCAGCATATCAATGGGATGACACAGTTAAAGCTGGCTAAATATGGCGTTGTCGACATGGACTTTGTTTTGGGAGTGGGCGGTTATGATCTAGATAGGTGATTCAGAGTTTTTTGCTTTTTTCATAGTATTTTTTTCCCTATTTGTGGTTAGAAAATACAAATGGCGCTGCATATCCATATCATAAATGGTATTGGGTAATATCATATTCCATGACGTTTGAACATGCCATTCGTTTTGCAGAATTGATTTAGAGGTTCAGTTGGATAGTTCTCATTGTGAATCCCATCAGTGTTGTTAAAGGCGCGCCTAGGCTCGAGGCTCAGGTTTAGCGCTTGTTGCCATCCCAGGCTCACTGATGTTGGAAATGAGAAGGACCGGATCGAGGTGAAGATGAGAAACGGTGTACAGAAGATGGTCATTTCCAAATGGAAAGGCGTCACCACCATCAAAATCAACAACTGAGCTTCCATCGCTGTCCTTCCGAGCTCATCTATGTTCATCCTGTTTGCTTAATTCTTTTTTAGGGTTTGTTCATTGATCGATTGATCTCTTTTGATTTCACTATGTTCTGGTTTTTGAAGCTTTGAAAAATGTTGATGCTCTATGTAGTTGATGGATCTTTTGTTTGAGGGTTCCCAAATCCCAACTGAAAAATGTTGATGCTTTGTGTGTGCACCACAAATTTCTGTGTAGAAACATGCCAAACGGGAGAATACAAAATTCTCTTTCTAATTTCTGAACTTATACGACATCATAGCTTTGAATCTTTTGCTAATGGAAATTGTCTAACATGTCAGCTTGAGGAAGAAAATTTCATTTGGAAAGAGAATGCTACTATTATCTCATAGTCGAGTCGGGTTACTAATACCATGAACACCCAAACTGAAAAACAGCAAATTACAATTTCCAATGCATTTAAAAGAAATTAGTCTTGCTTGTGTTCGTGTTTCTAGATAAGATTTCCAAATCAATTAAGCGAAATTTCTGGAGGGACACAGAGCAAAACCAGACCAAGAGCATGAGCATTGGAACCTTGAAAAGCAGTGGCAGGCAAAATGCTAAAATACAGACCATGAAAATTTTAAAAACAACTGATTTACATTGAAGGAACAATAAACAGGTTAACCCACAAAGACCACCTTACAACTTTGGAGAAACAGGTTCCAGTCTGGAAGACTACAGGATCTCAAAATAATTACTACACCAGAATTTGCTTTATTAATTGGAGTTCCCGAGCTGGGGTCACAAAGAAAGAGAAAGTAGGGCATATTTCGCTAAAATTACTGCACTAGAATTTGCTTCATTAATTGTTCAATTTCATAAGTAGAGCATATTTCGTTAAAATTTGTTTAGAATTTGTGTAGGCTAAAATACCCTTCTTATCATTTTTAACTTATTTATTTATATTTGGCAACCTTGTTTTCTAAACACTCGCTTAGCTAGCTTGGAGAATATTTTGTGTTATTTATGGTCCTAATGGAGCTGTTTATAGATGTAATGAGCAACCTAATTAGCGGTGTGGGGTTTAATACCATTTTCAATTGCAAAAATAAGTCCCTTTTCCGACGGTTCCACTTTTTTTTTTTTCCAAATGTACTATGTTTTTGAACTAAAAGTACCACTTTTTGGCGTCCAGGTACTATGTTTTCTAAACACCCGCTTAGCTAGCTTAGAGAATATTTTGTGTTATTCATAGCCCTAATGGAGCTGTTTATTGATGTAATGTGCAATCTAATTAGCGGTGTAGGGTTTAATACCATTTTCAATTGCAAAATTAAGTCCCTTTTTTTGGCGTCCAGGTACCATGTTTTTTAAACACTCGCTTAGCTAGCTTGGAGAATATTTTGTGTTATTCATGGCCCTAATGGAGCTGTTTATAGATGTAATGAGCAACCTAATTAGCGGTGTGTGGTTTAATATCATTTTCAATTGCAAAAATAAGTCCATTTTTTTGGCGTCCAAGTACCATGTTTTTTAAACACTCGCTTAGCTAGCTTGGAGAATATTTTGTGTTATTCATGGCCCTAATGTGTAACCTAATTAGCGGTGTGTGGTGTAATACCATTTTCAATTGCAAAAATAAGTCCCTTTTGCGAAGGTACCATTTTTTTTACAAAGGTACCACGTTTTTGAACTAAAGGTACCACTTTTTGGCGTCCAGATACCATATTTTTTAAACACTCCCTTAGATAGCTTGGAGAATATTTTGTGTTATTTATGGCTGTAATGGAGATGTTTATAGATGTAATGTGCAACCTAATTAGCGGTGTGGGGTTTAATACTATTTTCAATTGCAAAAATAAGCCCCTTTTGCGAATGTACCACTTTTTTTTTTTTTTCCGAAGGTACCATGTTTTTGAACTAAAGGTACCACTTTTTGGCGTCCAGGTACCATGTTTTCTAAACACTCGCTTAATTAGCTTGGAGAATATTTTGTGTTATTCATAGTCCTAATGGAACTGTTTATTGATGTAATGTGCAACCTAATTAGCGGTGTGGGGTTTAATACCATTTTCAATTGCAAAATTAAGTCCCTTTTTTTGGCGTCCAGGTACCATGTTTTTTAAACATTCGCTTAACTAGCTTAGAGAATATTTTGTGTTATTTATGGCCCTAATGAAGCTGTTTATAGATGTAATGTGTAACCTAATTAGCGGTGTGGGGTGTAATACCATTTTCAATTGCAAAAATAAGTCCCTTTTACAAAGGTACTACTTTTTTTTCCAAATGTACCATGTTTTTGAACTAAAGGTACTACTTTTTGGCGTCCAGGTACTATGTTTTCTAAACACTTGCTTAGCTAGCTTGGAGAATATTTTGTGTTATTCATGGCCCAAATGGAGTTGTTTATAGATGTAATATGCAACCTAATTAGCGGTGTAGGGTTTAATACCATTTTCAATTGTAAAAATAAGTTCCTTGTTTTGGCGTCCAGGTACCATATTTTTTAAACACTCGCTTAGTTAGCTTGGAGAATATATTGTGTTATTCATGGCCCTAATGGAGCTATTTATTGATCTAATGTGCAACCTAATTAGCGGTGTGGGGTGTAATACCATTTTTAATTGGAAAAATAAGTCCCTTTGTGAATGTACCGCTTTGTTTCCAAAGGTACCATGTTTTTGAACTAAAGGTACTATTTTTTGGCATCTAGATACTATGTTTTCTAAACACTCGCTTAGCTAGCTTAGAGAATATTTTGTGTTATTCATGGCCCTAATAGAGCTGTTTATAGATGTAATGTGCAACCTAATTAGCGGTGTGGGGTTTAATACAATTTTCAATTGCAAAAATAAGTCCCTTTTTTTTGGCGTCCAGGTACCATGTTTTTTAAACACTCGCTTAGCTAGCTTGGAGAATATATTATGTTATTCATGGCCCTAATGGAGCTGTTTATTAATCTAATGTGTAACCTAATTAGCGGGGTGTGGTGTAATACCATTTTCAATTGCAAAAATAAGTCCCTTTTGCGATGGTACCACTTTGTTTCCAAATGTACCACATTTTTGAACTAAAGGTACTACTTTTCGGCGTCCAGGTACCATATTTTCTAAACACTCGCTTAGCTAGCTTGAAGAATATTTTAGGTTATTTTGCGTTTTTCTTATAGTACATTCATGTAATAGTCAAAGAAAATTCAGTTAGACCCTAGTATAATAAGCTATACAATACTAATTCATGAAAACCCAAAAGAGCAACTTCATTTGATTCCATCGAAGGTAGATGCCAGTATAATAAGCCATACAATATATGATTGCAAAAACATACCAACCTGATCCACAATCAAAAGTTGCAAAAACTACTCTTCTTTAAAACTTAGAAAATAGCTAACAGCAACAAATTGCAAAATACCAGCAAAAAAAATGACACTGTTTAACATTACAAATGTCCCATATACCACATCATTTTAAGTACTTTTTGGATTCTGAGATCCTCCTATCCCACTTCCTCTAGCTCTCAATTGGGCAAATACAAGTATGTATTTCCTTGTTCTGTGGTAAACCAATTTGTGGCTTTTTTCCTTTGTGTGGTCCTAGTGAAAGTCCTCTTTTTTGTGTATTTGATGGACATGCATTCTTTCTGTCTCTGTGTGTAGTTGAAACAAAAGAACCACTTTGCCTCTGTGACTGTCACATATAATAAAAATTAAGGTATTACGGCATTGTATAATAATAATAAGGAACAAAAGCAATATAAAAACAGACAATTCGAAACTTTGAATAATAATAATTTTAAAAATAATCATGACACAGATATTCAAATTTAAATGTCAAGTCTTCATTTAAGCTGAGTCTTATGCAGTAGTTCTGCTGCAAAATAGGAACTACATGTTTTAGATTTTATATTACTATAATTATAAATTAAGGAAGGCTATTCTAAGTGTAAAGAAATAAGAAAGTGTGCATCAGAAACAAAGAATTAAAGAAAGAAAATGGAGTTAGCATGCTTAGGAATGCAAGGCTCTCTTCAAACTGGCAAATGTATGCTAAACTGAAAACTACTTCAACCCTTATTTTCTTTGGATATACTCTTATTGAAACTCAGAATTTGTAATTTGGTGGTTTGACAAATCTCACACATACATGTTACTTTCACAAAATAAGTGTACATGAGTCCAGTTAACTGATGGGAGATATTCTGATGACGTTTTCTTGAGTCTTCGTTCAAGTTTCAAGCTTAAATAATTTATCTTATCATGAATTTATAAATAAGGTCACATCAAATCCAACTTCTAAATATTAATTTTTTTATCTTTCTTAAAGGGCGATAAGAAAATTGAAGACCCAATCAGGGTCATCTCTCCTTTCTGTATTTCGATCAGCAAAAGGAGAAAAGGTTCTGGAAGTGGAAGGGACAATCACCAGCCAACTGGTTCTTCAACATGTGGGAATTTCTACGTGGCCTAGTATATTTTTGTGATAGTTCAACTCTTTAGTATTCAAAATGCTACTTTATATATATATATATATATATATATATATATATATATATATATATAATTTAATGGAAAAAATGGGTCACGTGACATGGTGAAAGCTTAGACTGCCCACTATAAGGAGACTTTTTTAAGTATGAGATCAGCCATTTCGTAGGCTGTAAACAAGCTAAAAGATAGGTGAAACGCATGAAAAACTTAAATTAACAGGATAATCTGCCAAGGAATGCTCTATGATGTCTCTAATTGCAACAATACCAGAGTCAAGAGCCAATTACAACAATACCTGAAAAAGTAAGAGCTATCCTGAAAAATTTAAGAAGAATCAAGAGAATTTTTGTAATTTTACCGAGATAGTAATAAAATGTTAAAGTGAGAAAAAGTTGTCAAAAGATTTGGAGGGAGTTGCTAGAATTTTAGAGAAACAAATATTTTAAAGAGAACGAAGTATCACAATAAATTTCAGTAGAAGGTACTGACTTTTAAATAGAGAATAAGAGGATAGACGTATTTTGACATAATTGCTGATATTTTAGAGAGAGAATAAAAGAGTCTAGAGAACATCTCAATAGGAAGAGAGTAACAATTTTAGAGAACTTAGAAAAGGAAAATGGAAATTTTGGAGAAAGGGGGGAAAAAAGAAATTTTAGAGAGAGGTGGTAATGGAGGTGGGGGGGTTATGGAAGTGAATTTGATTGTCATGGTGTGAATATGGGATAGACAATGACAGTTATGCAATTAGGTTT